GCTCCTCTCACCAGCACCAAACCCACCAATAGATCCACGCAGCGACGGCTCCCAGCCTGCACGCGGCCCGGCGGCAGGGAGGGGGTTAAAACCCACCGCCGGACCAGCTGACAAACCCCATCCGGGCCATTCCCTCGTTCCCCGGGCCAGCTGGGACGCTGCGGCCCCGTTACCCCCTGGCCAAGGTGGAGTCCTGGGGTTTGGGGGGCAGGACTTCGGCTCTGATTCTAACCAGGCTCGGAGCAAAGCGAAGCGAGATACAGCGCCCTCTCGCTGGGTCTCCCCCATTGCTGGCTGTGTGCACCGGGCGCAGCCCCAGGGAATGCTCTGGCCGGCTGAGAGCCCCACCGGAGCGGGATTCGGTTCTCCGCTCTCGGGGGGGGGTCACCGCCACCACTGAGCGCCTGAGAGCTGTAGGAGTTTCTGAAGGGCCTAGGGGAGTTGGGAGCGCCCCCCGTGGAGTGACTCCACTGTCTGATCTCGCTGGATTCTGGCACCGTTGCTCTCCTTGGAGCTGCTTACCTGCCCCCTCGCCCCAGCCCAGACGGAAGCAGCGAAAAGCGGCACCTTCCCCCTTCCATTAGCCCCTCGGCTGGCTCAGTGCAGCAGCTGGTGGGGTGCCCAGCTGCCTGGGGGAGGGGTGGTTTGGGGACGTCTCTGTCTCTGCTGCTCGTGGCGTTACATGGGGTCGGAGGGCAGCACTGCAGCGTTGGAGGCAGAGGCAGTCTCTGCTGTGCCCGGCGGGCCGTCCTCCGGGGTGGGGAGGGGGTTTGTCTGTCTGCCTGTCCCCTCTGAGCCGTGCCAGGGTGATTCTGACATTGGAGACCATGTGAATACCCAGCCTGGCACCATCGCCAGCTCCTGGGGGCATCGGCGGGCCTGCCAGCCCAGGGCACCGCAGAGTCTTGGGAGCCGTGTGTCCGAGGCCCCAGCTGTGCTCCCAAGCTCACCGGACTGAGCTGTGTTGTGCCGGGTGGCTGTGCCCCTCCCCCCCCCCCGCAGGAATGGGGCAGTTGGGAAGCTGGATTCTGGAGGGACCAGGGCTTTGGCCAAGGCGTGCTGTGGTTCGTTGGGTAGGATGGGGGCAGTCAATTGTATTGGACACCCTGGGGCAGCTGTTCCTGTTCTACCATCCGCACTGTGTCAGACTGCCAGGGAGCTGTAACCCCAAAGTGTTCGCTGGTATCTCTCGTCCTCCATTCTTCTGCAGTTCTCACATTTCACAGATGGGGAAACTGAGGCATGAACAGTTAAGTGACTTACAGTCACCCACAGTGCAGTGGCAGAGCCAGGGCCCACTGTGCGTAGCGTCACCGTTCCCTGTTGGCTCTCCCAGCCAGAGGGGTACATACCCTCATCACAGCACCCCCCGTTGTATCACAGGGCGAGGGCTCGTTAGCAGGAGAACAGCCCCGCATCTCTCCCAGGTACGCCAGCCCTGCCCCTGCATCGCTTCGCAAGCCCCCTCTGGCCTGCCCTGCCCAGCTCCCCCATGGTGCCCGGCGGGTGCAGCTCGGCAGGCGGAGACGGCGGCTCTGGCCCGTCTCCCCAGCTCACACCCAGCGCGGCGCCTTCATTAGGGCCTCTCGGAAAGATATGATAATTGTGACATTTTTACATGATTAACAACCCATCCAATTTGCATAGCGCCGCGGCTCCTGGGAGAGCAGCCAAGCCCGCCACCCCGACGAGCCAGCGAGTAGGTGGGGGCAGGGAGGAGAGCTGGCAGCCAGGCTGGGGGCTGGAGCTGGCCCGGCCCCCTCGGCCCCTGGAACGCTGACCCTGGTGTAACGAAGCGGCCTTCGGCCGGACACTCCTGAGAGTATCAATTCAGGACAAATTGCTTAGAGCAGGGCAGTTACAGCCCGAAGCTGGGGGTCCTTTGCACACCAAACCAGCCAGCCAGAGAGGACTTCGGTCTCACCCACTGGCTAACCACAAGTCTCACAAGCAATTCCCTTAGACACTCCAGTTTCCCAGTATTACCACCAGTGCCACTCGTTATGGGGACAAATGGTTATGAAAACCAATACCCCAGTAAAAGAAAAAGGTTCTCCTGATCCCAAAGGACCAAGCCCCAGACCCAGGTCAATATACAAATCAGATCTTACCCACAAATCACGCTGCTGCCAATCCTTTAGAATCTAAAATCTAAAAGTTTATTCATAAAAGGAAAAGATAGAGATGAGAGCTAGAATCGGTTAAATGGAATCAATTACATACAGTAATGGCAAAAAGCAACAGAGGGTCCTGTGGCACCTTTGAGACTAACAGAAGTACTGGGAGCATAAGCTTGCAGACTTGCATCTGAAGAAGTGAGGTTCTTACCCACGAAAAGCTTATGCTCCCAGTACTTCTGTTAGTCTCAAAGGTGCCACAGGACCCTCTGTTGCTTTTTACAGATTCAGACTAACACAGCTACCCCTCTGAGTAATGGCAAAGTTCTTGGTTCAGGCTTGTAGCAGTGATGGAATAAACTGCAGGTTCAAATCAAGTCTCTGGAACATCCCCAGCTGGGATGGGTCATTAAGTCCTTTGTGTAGAGCTTCTGTTTGTAGCAAAGTCCCTCCAGAGGTAAGAAGCAGGATTGAAGACAAAATGGAGGATCTTCCCAGGGCCTTTTATATTCTCTGCCATGTGGAAGGACCCCTTTGTTTTTACTGTGGAAAATCACAGCAGCAAGGTGGAGTTTGCAGTCACCTGGGCAAGTCACATGTCCATGCATGACTCAGTTCTTTACAGGTAGAGCAGCCACTGCTCACATGCTGCCTTGAAAGTTCCCAGGAAAGCTCCTCGGATGTGGATTGGAGTCTGCCAAGGTCTATTGTCAATTAAGAGTTTCATAATTGGGCACTTATTCTGAAAATTCCTTCCTCAAGAAGCTGACCAAATGCTTCACTGGAGCTACTTAGAATCAAACACATTGAGATACAAGTACATAGATAATATTCATACTTCAAATACAGAAATGATACACACATACAGACAGCATCATCCTAACCAGCAAACTACAACCTTTTCAAAGACACCTCACTTGACCTCCCTTGTACAAGATTTGGTGCCACTGGAGGACTTTGGTTGTAACAGTGATCTATACGGTCCCAGTTCATGTCCATAACGTCCAGGCTGGCTCCGCAGGGCGCATGGCAGCAGGGGGTTGCCGCGGCTCAGGGTTCAGGCCTGAGAAGCTCCCGTTCCCCAGAACCCCAGAACCTCCCTTCTCAGCTTTCCCACAATGCACCAGTGGGTGACATGGGCCATCGCCTAAGTAGCGTCAGACCCTGGTACTTAGCCCCCAGTAATGGCACTCCCCCCCCCCGCCCCGCCCGAGAGGGCTGGGCCACGGCTGGCATTCAGGGGCCGTGCAGTGCCTGGGACTGCCCCATTGGGGGGCGGGTTCGACCGACGCTGCGATGCAATGGGCTGCCCCATTGGGGGGCGGTTCTAAGGACTGTGGTGGGATGGGCTGTCCCGTTTGGGGGGGTTTCCAAGGACAATATGGTACAATGGGCTGTCCCATTTGGGGGGGTTTCCAAGGACTCTGTGGTGGGATGGGCTGTCCCGTTTGGGGGGGGTTCCAAGGACAATATGGTGAGATGGACTGCCCCGTTTAGGGGGTTTCCAAGGACTCTGTGGTGGGATGGGCTGTCCCATTTTGGGGGGGACTCTACCCCTGCCCTGATCAGCCTGTGCCCTGTAGTTTGTACTCTCGGGGTACAGGCAATGTACCAAACTGGGGATGGGTCCCTGAGAGCTGCCGCGGGGGCCCCGTGCCGCCCAGTGCACCAGGATGCCGGGGTCTCTGTCTGGCCTGGCTCTCCTGCCGCGCGGCTGGCGTAACGCTGAGATGTTCTTGGCTCCCAGGTGGTGGTGTCAACGACGGTGAACGTGGACGGGCATGTCCTGGCGGTGTCCGATAACATGTTCGTCCACAACAACTCGAAGCACGGGCGCCGGGCGCGACGGCTGGACCCCTCCGAAGGTGAGCGCCCCCCGAGCTCTGCCGGAGCATCCAGCTGTAATGATGCGGTTCTGGCGGGACCCAACTGAGAGTGCCAACTCAGGACAAATTGCTCAAACAGGGCAGTTACAGCCCAAGGCTGGGGTTTCTCCACCTCTAAGGCAAACCAAACCAGCCAGAATAGGAGGACTTCGGTCTCACCCCACTGGCTAACCGCAAGTCACACCAGCAATTCCCTTAGACGCTCCAGTTTCCCAGTATCACCACCAGTGCCACTTGTTATGGGGATGAATAGTTATGAAAACCAATACCCCAGTAAAAGAGAAAAGGTTCTCCCGATCTCAAAGGACCAAGCCCCAGACCCAGGTCAATATACAAA